TGTGCATTCCAATCCTAGTATTGTGAAGAATCTCCAAACTTATTTCCACAGTGGTTTCACTAACCTAAACTCTCACCAGCAGTGGAGTAGGGTCCCTTTCTCCCCACAGCCTCTCCAGCATTTGTTATTGGTTGATTTCTTGATGATAGCCATTCTTTCTGGGGTGAGATGGAATCTCAGTGTTGCTTTAATTCGCATTTCTTGAATGACTAATGATGTTGAATACTTTTTCATGAATTTATTCACCATTAGTATTTCTTCATTTGAGAAGTCTGTATTCATCTTAGATTCTCATTTTTGGATTGGATCTTTGAATTGGGGGGGCCTGATTTTTTAAAAATTCTTTGTATGTCCTAGATAGAAGTCATTTGTCTGAGGGGCAGTTGGCTAAAGCTTTTTCCCATTTTGTGTGTTTCCTTTATACTCTATTGGTGATTTCTTCTGATGTACAAAAACTTTTCAATAAGGTGAGATCCCAGTTGTTGATTCTTTGAAGTATTTCCTGTGTGATTTGGTTTTTGTGCATAAACTCTCTGCCTACTCCTATGTCTTCAAGATTTTTACCTACTTTCTCTTCCAATAGATTTAGTGTTTCTGTTTTATTTATTTTTTTATTTTAAAGGTAAGAGAAGGATAACAATAACATAATAATGGGGGGGGCTTACCAAATTACAGACAAAGTGGTAGGAAATTATCAATGGTTATTGTTTTACATATTGTTATCTACAAGATAGTTTCTAAGGAAAACAAATAGACAAATAATACTGAGTTACAGACAAAAGAGGTAGGAGATTATCAATAGTTGTTGTACTATACTTAGGTATCTTCGAAAGAAAATAAATAGAACTATACATGAGTGACCAATTGAATAATCATTAACTATTCTCAATGTTTGTTGTAGGAAACACATAATAATAAATATGCATCCATTTATGAAATAGGATAGGAACAACACAAACATTACAGAGTTATGGATAGATTAGTAGGAAAATATCAATGACTGCTGTAATACATGTTGGTATCTTAGAATTGGTTTCTCAGAAAGACAGAGATACGCAAGAAAGACTAACAAGTAGTTACAGCCTAAGGGTTGTCAAAAATCAAGTGAGCCGTCTGGGGCCCAACCCATTTTTTGTAGCATTTTCTCTCCAGCCTCCCATCGCATTGGGACCCCACAACCAGTTAGTGTCCTCTCCCCAGCTGTCAGCACAGGCAGCAGGAATCCTGCTGCAGACTTCTCCGGAGCTCCACCACAGCCTGTACTGTCAGGGAAAGAATGGCTTCCAGGGAGTCTCCTCAGGTATTGTGCAAGGTCCTCCTGGTTTACAGCTTCTGAGCAGCTCTCATGACCCCAGACCACAGGACCCCTGACCCCTCAGGCTTAGTCTGCATTCTCGTGTTCTCTGAGTCCTTGTTCAGCAGCTGCTCCTCTGCTGACTCTAGACCTTTCTGGTTCTCAATGGCAGGAGCAAGAGTGGCCCATTGTATGGCATGTATTCCCAGGGGTTTTTCCATGTTTGAATGATTCACACACGTCCGTGGGTGGGCATCTGCAGCCGGTGCATGGTGGGCCAATTGTGTCATTGTTTCTCTGTGTCATGATAGTTCTCAATTGAGCAGCGGCGGCTGGCCTGAAGGCTGGTGTGCTCCCTGTGTGCCGGGGGCCCTCCCTCTGGGGGCCTACAAGGCAGGAAGTGAGCCAGCTGGAAGACAGGTGCTCCCTGCCCGTGGCTCCCCATGTACTGGAGGCCCTCCCTCCGGTGGCCTATGAGGCAGGGAGCAAGCTGCCGGTCGGAAGACCGGTGCTCCCCACTCGTGGCTCCCTATACACCGGGGTCCCTCCCTCCAGGGGCCTACAAGGCAGGGAGTGATCTGCCGGTCGGAAGACCAGTGCACCCCAACTGTGGCTCCCTGTATGCCGGGGTCCCTCCCTCCGGGGGCCTATGAGGCAGGAAGTGAGCTAGCTGGAAGACTGGTGCTCCAGTGTTTCTGTTTTAATATTTAGATCTTTGATACATTATGAGTTTAGTTTAGTGCATGGTGGAAGACATGGCTCTAGTTTTAGTCTTCAGCATGTGGAAAGCCAGTTTTTCTTGCATCATTTATTAAAGAGGCTATCTTTCTTCCAGTGAACATGTTTGACCCCTTTGTCAAAGATAAGGTGACTGAATGTGTTTGTAGTTGTATCTGTATCTTCTAATCTGTTCCATTGTTCTTCAGGTCTGTTTTTGTGCCAGTACCATGCTGATTTGATCACAATGGTTTTGTGATATAATTTCAAGTAAGGAATTGTGATGCCTCCTGCCTTTCCTTTGTTTCCCAGGATTACTTTTGCTATTGTAGGCTTGTTCTGGCTCTAGATGAACTTTAGAAATGTTTTCCCTAGATTTACGAGATATGCTAAGGGTGTTTTAATTGGGATTGCATTGAATCTGTACAACAATTTTGGGA